TTGAATTCTCTTCTATAAACATCTCTTCTTCCAAATCCCTGTATTTTGAGTGAGCTAAGTGGTTGTCTGGGAGCTCTGGTGGCACAGTGCCTAAGGCATGTGATTGCTAACCAGAAGGCTAGCAGTTCAAACCCACCAGCCACTCCTTGGAAGGTTGGGCAATCTACTTCCGTAGTGATACCACCTCGGAAACCCAAGGAGGATTTGCTATGAGTTGGATCCGACTCCACAGCAGTGGGTTTGGTTTTTTTGGTTTTTAAGTGGTGGTACTTGGGGTGGAAAGACGTAAAGGTATTTGCTGCATAACCAATGAATAAGAATAACGTGGTCCAGACCTGGCTCAGATGTCTGACCCACAATGCAAGCAGCTCTCTGTTTTCAGAGAACTATTAATGGAGTGCTCACTGAAGGTTGGGCAATCTACTTCTGTAGTGATACTGCCTCGGAAACCCAAGGAGGGGTCGCTATGAGTCGGGTCCGAATCCACGGCACATAACAACAACAACAACACTGAGTATACAGACATTGGAGTTGTTCTGAGATTGTTAGACCCCAAACCAAAGAATGGGACATCTATGGTCCAATGGCTAGGATTCAGAAAATATTTAACTACACAAAATAATTCTTTGAAAGATACCTTTTATAACAGAATTCGCTCTGTAGTAAATGTATAATAAAGGGAAAAAAAGAAAAAAGTTTATGTTTTGGAATACCCACTGGGGACTTTTCTCAGTTACCTTGGCCTAAAGGAGACCTCCTTCAAGTAACCAATGAAAAAAAGTCTCACCATTATTTCCTAATAATTTCTCTGAATCTTGACACAATAGTCTTGCTTTGGGGTAACATGAAGGATGCAAACACCAAAGCAAATGGAAGACATTTTCCAACAAGGCAGATGTTCAGCTTTGAGCTTCCTGATTCAGTTAGCATTCCAAGTGAATGGAACAGGGAAGAGGTAAAATCTTCTTTACTGTACAACCATCAGCATAACTGTGGCCTGCTGCTTGAGCTCCCACTCAGGGCAGAGGAGAGGCCCCCAGCTCTGTCCAGGCATCGTTTAACGAGTATGTGCTCAGATGTGCCTCTCTGCTTGAGGGCTTCCAGAACAGTCCAGCCACCTTGCTCTCTGGGTAACATGGAGTCCTTCCTGAAGCATATACCATGTGACAGAAGCCAAGTTTCAAGAATTAAAAATGGAGGGAGTCAGTCGATCCTGAGTGCTGTGAGGGATACAACAGGGCATTCAAACAAAGATTATAAAAACAATGTCTACACCATCACCTGGGGCTGGCCTGCAGTGGGGACTGACATGGAAATCCAATTCTACTGAGGGTTTACACATGGTAAGTGGCCAAAAACATGATAGAACAGAACACAACAATTCCTTTCTTTGGAGGCAAATGACTGTTAAGGGACAGCTTGAGGTTAGAATCCTTTGCCCACGGCCCTGCCTATTCAGCCATCCAGAGCTTGAAGGTCCTGTCATATGAGCAAGTAGCTATGAGCTGCCCATCAGAAGAAATGTCTAGGCCCATCACTTTGCCCTCATGGCCAGCCAGAGTCTTCAGTGGGGACCAGCCTGGGTGGGTCCAGATCTTGGCTGTATTATCATAGGCTCCAGTGAGCAAGAAGTTCCCATGGATGGCTGCAGGAGGAAAGAAGAGGATTATTTGGAGAATTCAAATATTCAAAGGAAAATAAGAGAGCAAAAGCACAAAACTCTGCTAGGACACACTACATCTTCTTCTCACTTATCCACATGGTTAGGTTCCAAAGACCAGGTCATAGGTGAAAACTGGCATTATGCAACAATGGAGGATGACTACA